AATTATTTTCATGGTTAAATTTACTCTCACCATAAATGTTGCACTCCCACATAGTTGAATGTAGTTTGCTGATAGGAGCGTGGAAGACACCTGCAGTTCAATGCAATTTTGGCCCAAAAAATTCTCCTTCAGACCTGGAGAAAGACTTCATCTGATTCAGCATAACGCAACACTACTCTTCACAGTAGAATCTAGTACAGCATAGGCCTTACTCCGAAAAGTGCATGCTTATGTGCATCATAACAAATCACATTCCATGTCTTGGAAAGTTTACAACAGCAACTACGTCGGTTCTTTGAATGAGCCGACCGCCACGTGGAAATCTTCGGCCATATCTTAGCGCGCACTGTCTGTGAATTGTTGCCCAGTAAGGGACAGTTTGAGGCATTCGGTCTTGCTTTAGCGATAGATGTAGCTAACAACTTCCTTGCTGTACTGAATTCTTAGTTGGCCTGTTCTAAGTATTTCTATTTTTATGTCACTGGCAAGTTCCCCAACGTGCTTTTGGCATCGTGCAGTACCACTGAGCAGTCTGTTTTGTTAATCTGTTACCTCCTAAATATTACCAGACCAATTCTTCTTTCTGATGCCGTACATACCAGACCGGAATAATAGTATTTCAGTGGAGATATGCCGAGGCTATTATGTGTTTTCCCCTGCTTTGCTGAGTCAAAACTAAGTTTTCCTTCAGTACAATACACTTAGGAACACAACAGTAAAAGTAAATGTTAAAAAGCTGTTAATTTATCGAAAGAAATTTATCAGAGGCTTTGTGAAGAGGGGGATAGTTTGCCTTTCCATGGCAAATGTCAGCTGATTGATAAGCTCTGAAATTCGTAGAGATGGATGTGCGACATCAGAAGATACGTACTGGAAGTTAGATGCTTTGCAAAATTTCATACAAGACCTGAACTGGCCGGAAGAGGAATTTGCGAGGTATTTGCAAGTGAGGATGAAGGCACTCGCGAGCGAGATGATCAACAAATGTGCCAACTGGTATGCGTAGGTTTGTCTAATAAAAGTTAGCATATTTCGTTTTTGTTAAAATAAGCTGCCCTGTTGGTCGCGATCGCAAGGACTCATCGCAAAGACAATTCTGAAATTCTTTCTAAATCTAGCCGAAGGACAACCGCACTTTGCAAAAGTCATGCCGACTTCGTTAAACGTCGGGAGAAGAAACTCACCGGAGGGTGCGGCAGTTTAATGGCCCTCCTGGCTTCGTCAGCACTATCCAAGCTGATTTTACAGTTCTTGTTCGAGACAGACTATGGAAGCATGAAAAGTGACCTCAAAATGAAATATCTCTGCGGCGGTTATTAAAATGAAATATCTCTGCGACGGTTATTAGCGCAGACGATCTAGATAATCTTGAGATAATCTTGATGTACGATTACAGAACAGCCGACTTTGGCATTCCCGGTGAACGAATGCTCTTCATTTCATTTTAGCATCTTAGCATCTCTCGTTTTCATAATCACAGTTCAAGCTAAACTAATTCTTAATGGAATTGACATACAAATAATCATAATAATTTTTAGCACATACCAGTGTTTCGATTCGTATATGCAGCGGGCGCGCAGGACAACCGATTATGTTCTGCCATCGGAAGTTTGCGTTATGATTAATGTGATTTTTTCATCAAAATCTCGAGCGACCAAATTAACAATGGATTCTGGCGAGGTACAGGCTTTTTTTGACTTAAAAATCATGCATCGATTTCTCGATCCTTGCCTAGCCTACAAAAGGAGAATATAGGAAAAGAATGCCTAACAAGCTTTTTTCTTCTACTGAAAAAATATTGCGCAGATTCAGTTGAGGCGCTCCAATCTATTAGCCACTAATCTGAGTCAAAAAAAGTTTAGTTCAGCCGATGCAATGATCGCTGTAACACAATTCTAGCAGATACCTATTTCTTACTTATATCAGCTAATGCTTCATCGTAAAGCATTTTTGTGCCACTTGTGTACAAGTAGTTTTCCCTATGCTGCTGTGAGCAAAACTGTATTAGTTAGTGGCCAGCCTGCTGATAATCGTAACATTCGTTTAACCATTTTCCTTCGCCTTTTTGCAATGGAATGCTTGGTGTATCACATTACGCCTCTGATGCCCTTCAGTTAACCTATCAACGTTCGTCCTACATTCTCCTACAGTCGCCAACACCCGAAGCGGACATGTACCGAGACTTAACTATTTGAAAATTTCTAGAATTTGAAATACACTTGCCTGCTGTTCTTACAGCAGAGTCTGAACTAAAATGCAGTCACCTGGCATTCATTCTTTGTAAATTTAATTCAGAAGAGTTGGTGGGATGCAAATCTTATAAATTGTCAGCTTTCAGCGAGAAAAAAAAAACGAACATGTGCTAAAATTTAGTCAAGGAGCGCGCCGAAAATAACTGCTTAGATGTTTTTTCCTATTTAAGGGATGACCAGCAATTTTTTTGAAGAGCCGATTTCCACAGGAAAGTTTTGGTGCTGGTTACATTCAGCTTTTTCTGGAAAGGCATATTAGTAAAGCATCCTCATTCACTGATAT